CACAAAAACGGGAGAGACGAGAAACTGTGACACCGCGTTGGCAGAAGGAAGAATGGAGAGAAATATGTGGAAATAATACCATAAATAAAATGTTACCTCTCATTTATCATATAGGAAGAATTCATTTTCAAACATTGATTAAAGCCAATCTTAAAATGATTAAACAAACGCCTGTTTGCGACTCCTCAGTGCACACAATAACATAACTTGGAGAAATAAATAAATACGGATATGTTATTTAAAACCACCTCGAATATGTTGTGTTAATGTTATGAAATGTTTTCTCATAAATGATGCGGTAAGCAGGAGGACAGAATTACGTCTAAACTGACGCCGTGTTGCATTTCTATAGGTTGTAGATACGAGCATGGTTTTATATAGGCCTACTATCACGTTTAATCGTGTTTTATGCCGTTTGCCAAGACTTGATACGTCGCTCGTAAAACACAGGAAGTATGGAAACTAAGAACACCATATGTGGTAAATTGTACAGCAAATATAACACAACACATTGGTTGTATTTCCTTTAACTGATGAATATCGAGTTGCTGCGGGGAGCGGGGGGGGGGGGGGGGGGGTTGAGATGCACAGGCTGCAGTGGAGACGCTGCGCAAAGCTGATCGACAGCTGGGACACAAACCACCAAATACAAAAACATAATTCAGATCCAGTCGTCATGACTCCACTCCGGAGGGCTTCCCCGATCATTTCTTACAGTTTCTCATCAAGGGGGTGTCTCCTGTCCCCGGTACAAACACACTGCCTGAGGAAGGCTATGTGTCTTTTTTTTGTCATTAACCTTTTTCGGACCACTTATTTATTTATTTTTGTGACGATCCGACCTCCATGCTGCTACTCTGGTTCAAACTGCATCCACCAAACAATATGATTTATCTCGACCTCCCCAAAATAACCAAAATCTGACGGTGTGAGATGTATTTTTTAGCTGTTCTGTCGTCATTTCCTGCGATCTTCTTCATAAAGTCAGTCAGAATGAATGAATGAATGGGCGTTTCTTTGACTATTTATAGGCAAATATGGGCGTTACGTGAAGCCCGCAAAAGCTGCACCGCATTTCGAGTCGATTGTGATTTATAAAGGGAAACCGGCGTAGGAAGTGCTGTCCGCACTTTCCTCGCCGGTACGCAATGTTTGGTGAATCGGAAAATGTCGGAACATTTCTGTACCTATTTTTTGGATTTCTACTACGTAAGCAACCTTCCCACGTGAATCCTACGCACGGCGTTATAAATGAGGCCCCAGATCTGTTGTATGAAGCGATGCCGGTAGCAGAGGTACGGCACACACACCAAGTGTTCAGGAAATGGTTAATACAGCGAAAATCAAAGCTGACGATCTCTTGGTTTGATATGTTTTCTCCCCCAGACAACATGGACATGAGAACATTTTTTTCAAAGAAGAGGAAAGTAAGTCATCAGCTGGTAGCAGTTAATCAGTTAACAGTGATGGCGGCGGCGTCTCACTTCTGGAGATGAGTTTCGTCTTTATGTCATGATAGAGAGATACAAATACTGAATAGTTTAGATGAGAAAAGGCCTCGAAATGCCAGGTTACTAGTATTTATCATGTAAACATGAATAACCCGATCTCTCTGTGCTCATGTAAACACCATATCCCCAATATGATCATAACCGGGATAATACTCATAAACGGCTTACTGATGTCCATGAAGAGACGCAGTCAGTGTGCTTTACTGGAGCCTTAGTTCGATAAGAGATTATTTTCTGAGTTCTTTAACTTTGGTACTCTCTCTCAAAATGATAATGTGCATTATGTTTTAATTATACTTCTTATCATTCAGAAGCTTTTTGTGTGTGTTTATGTTTTACTGAGTGCTTATAGGCCATTTCCATCCCAGTATTCAGTTAACTATTTATTTTTTCTGTGCACATTACAGCTAATATTCTACCTACTGCTTGGGACTTTGAGTCTTCAAAATGTCCAATGTCACAGACTGGGACTTACTTTAGAGTTAGTTGTATTTACATTCAGTATGACTTGTTATGATTCAATATTAAAGAGTAGACTGCTCAATAAATAATGATCACTTCACCACCTCTCTTGACATCTAGGCACTTGAGAGTGAGTCAGAGGCAGAACACAGGGACAGTGGAGAGAGGTCCATTGCTGAGGTGAGTGATGAAAGGGAAATGACAGTTTAGAGTAAATTGTGATGTGGACTCTCATCCCAGAATTTTAAGGAAATCAGTGGGGATATTGAACAGGAAACATTTCAGTCAAGGGGCATCATATGACCAATATAGACAGAAGAGCAACATTTATTTGAACATTTAAGTCAATGATACCATTCCTAGGTGAACTTAACATCTGTATGGAGTCAGTTCAGTCTCAATATTAATACATGCTCACAGAAGGATTTTGCGTTTTATATATAAATGACTCTCCACAACAATATCTCTCAATGCACTCACAAATATTTATTGTTGTATATAAATGTACAAAAAATGGGCATTTAAACTGCTTTTTATTCATTCAAAGACGGCTCTGAATTAATAATCAAATATGTTTCCTTTCTTTACTACTGGATGAAATTACAAAAGGTACCCATCATTTTCCTCATGCTAGTATAGCCACATAAAAGTATCAAACCACCTGTTAAAATGCACCAGAATACAGGAAATCTATTTATTTTTTTTGGGGGAGGACCCCCACACCCCCCGTTAAAAATGTCCCCCCCACATTCAGGATGCTTCCTACGTCCATGCACGGGACCCTGACCAAACGTCGCTCCTGGACGATTATGGAGTGAGAGTGTGTTGCATATGGAGTTGTAAATTACTGTTCATGGTAATTTGAAAAAAAATGCTGGAGTCGGACACACATACACCGAACGAGGGGTGCTGAGGGCGCTGCAGCACCCCCTAGCGGCAGGCAGGCGGAGCGGTGCTCCCCTGTCTGCAAATTTATTTTATTTTTATTTTACTCAAAATAAATACCTCCGAACACACACATCATGTAGCATTTCACGTTTCCATAGCAACAACAACTTCCTGTCAACAGCGTAAACTCGCCTTCAAAATAAAAGCATCTAAATAAAACAGGAAGTTAACCTAAATTACATAACAAAAACAATGTCATATCCTTTTCAGTTTTACACATCATGTGCCCTGGTGACCGGACATCTCCTTCATAAAACGAGTAATAGGGGGAATAATCGGGCAGTTCGAAGTGTGTGTGTGTGTGTGTGTGTGTGTGTGTGTGTGTGTGTGTGTGTGTGTTGTGTGTGTGTGTGTGTGTGTGTGTGTGTGTGTGTGGCCAGTATTGGGACTAACGCGTTACAAGTAACGCCGTTATTTTTTGGCAGTAACTAGTACTCTAACGCATTACATTTTAAATTCAGTAACTCAGTTACCGTTACTACATAGTGCGTTACTCCGTTAGTTTTTTTATATAGTCAACAGCCAGGCGAACAGAGATGAGAACTGTACTTAAGTACAGTACTTGAGTAAATGTACTTAGATACTTCCTGTGTCACATGCGGAGACGGGCTGTGGGCGTGTTTGTGTTGTTTACTAACAAGACTATCATGGCGGCGGCGGAGCTCAAGTCTAGTTTCTCCACCTGGAGATATTCTCACTATTTCACTTTTGTCGAGCACAAAGAAAAGAACGTTTTAGTTAAATGTAAGTTGTGTCTTGGCGGGTCAAAGATCCTATCTACTGCCCAAACCAGTCATTCAAATCTCTTAAAACATCTGCAAAAACAACATGCTGGGACGAAGCTAGTAGCTAAGACCACAGAGACTCAGCCGACGCCACTACACCTCCACCTAAGCAACAGCGGCTGGATTTTAACCGAGGGACTGCTAGCCAGGGAAAAGTCGATAAAGCCATTGCACGGTATGTCGTAGAACACATGCAGGCTATTGCTACAGTGGAGTCACCCGCTTTCAGGGAGCTAGTTAGCATGATAGCATGTCCGGGCGGCACACGGCATATGGGACGGAAAACTTTTTCCAACTACCTGGAGAAAGAATATACAAAACTGGAAAGCCAGCTAATATCGATGCAATCCAGATTGCATATAATGCATGTGAAGTTGATCAACAGATTGTATTATTCTCCAATGCAATAACAGTACTGAAATGAAGGCTATAAGGGCATTAATGGGAGACATTTTTTTCAAGTAACGAAAACGATACTTTTCACAGTAACGCATTACTTTTGGGTGTAAGTAACTAGTAAAGTAACTGAGTTACTTTTGACATGAAGTAACTAGTAATGGTAACTAGTTACTGGTTTTCAGTAACTAGCACAACACTGTGTGTGGCCTAGCATTACCATCCTTGTGGGGACCTACATCTGTTTACACAGTCACGTGTGGGGACCCGCCCCCCTTATGGGGACATAATGTAGGTCCCCATGAGGGGAATCATTAAAGCTTGAAGCTTCAACGCATGCCGCCGTGTGGACGGGCCGTAACCATGGATGTATAATAAGATGTATAATAACGGCCACAGGCTCTGGGGCCGTCACAGACTGTAAATTAGTTTTTTGGCATGGCATTACTTTCTTTTTTAGATACAATTGTGAATTTTTTTCGACATACAATAATATTACTTTTTTCGACACACATATGACTGAATGAATAACAATGGCGCTTGATCTCTTTAATAGTAAAACAATGTGGTGGGGGAGCTGTTGAACTCTCCTAACCAGAAGACTGAGGACAGCAAACATATTCTTCCATAACTGTTACTAAATAAAAAAATAAATGTTGTAGTTTTATTTTATTTTGATCTGTTAAACCTGTTGGAAGTGGGTTTTGAGAAGTGCAATACTAACAGTGTTATTTTCCTTCTGATTTTGTAATTATTATTTATTTGACACCTGACTTGCTGACAATAACACTTTGGTCTTATAACTTTGGACCAAAGAAGAGTTTAAACCCACTCCTCTATAGATCATCTTGACCCATTTCCAGAGCTTCATGCAAATCATCAAGCTGAGAGACATATGCATGATATAATCTTTTATTTTAACCCATGGGATTTATCTTTTACAGTGCATTTCTTTACAACAATTATTCATTAACTGACAGGTTTGAGCCACCACTACGGATCAGATAACTATGTATGTTACATTTCTGAATTCCTCTTAGACATTTCGACTTCATGAACACCGTGTGGAAAAAACCTCAAATATTAGACAATGGATAACCTCACAGGTTAAGTAGTTCAGTGACATCCCATCATCTATTGAAACGTTAGCCTCTTATCAAAGCGCACCATCTGTTAATATTTTGCTTTCTCAGTGTTATCAAGTAGGTAACTATCTGTACCAATAAAACATACAGAAATGTGGCCAATTAGAAACCTGCTGCCATCCATAGGAAAGAAAAAGGCTTTAAACAAAACAAAATAAAATATGGCACTATTGTCTCAACAAACAGTAGACACAAACACATTATTTAAAAGGGGACTGTGGCCAAACTCCCCTGTAAAGAACAAGAAACTCCTAGCACTTTGTTCAGTCTTTACTGCCAGTTAACACTCTGAGGAGTCATCAGTCAGGTGGACGTCAAGCTTCATGTGGACATTACTAATTCATTCACAAACACCTCAGCAGGAAAACCTTCCCTCTGTCACATTGCAGTACCTTCAAATGCCATTTCACCACATCAGAAGAAGACGTTACAGAAATCTGCTGTCTCCAATCGTTATTGTGTTCTCTTCCTCTTAGCACATCAAGCACACGTCCCATTAAACAAACAAAACACGCATCACTGCATCGCTCGGTCCACGCACATCCCTCAGAATGTCACAACATGGCTATACTGGAGAAAAGCATCGATAAAGACAGAACCACATTGACTGTGCATATACATCATCTTGAAAACACATTGCAGCAATGAAACACAAATACGACCCACCAATGCACAAAAACTCGATCCAGTTATCCGTTACATATTACATTCAAGCTCCAAGAAAAAAAGATGCAATGACAAAGTAAACAGCAGATTTCTCCCTTTTGCTCAAGTTTGGTCTCAAATTCCCTCCAACACACGACAGCTAGTAGTGCACAAAAATAAGAATACAAAATTAGACTTTTAAATACTGTAGCAGCAATTATTTTCTTTTAAAGTTGAAAGCCTCCAGTAGTACAGGTAAAGGCTTCGGAGTCCCCCGACACGTAGGAAGGGTGAGCGATTGTCCTCTGAAGTGCGAGACAGTGTCTGTAAGGAGGGTGCAGGTGTTTGGTACTAAAGGGGGGTGGACAGGTGGGAGGAGAGCCTTGTACGGGGCTCCAGGAGGGAGCGGAGCCGTGTGGAGGCCGCTGGACGCTGCAGGGCTCAGGCCTGAAAATGTCTCTGATCAGAAGGGTTTCCCCCTGCTGACACGCCTCCATCTCACACTTCCCCTTTCCTTTCTTCCGCCTCTTAGGACAATCTCATAGTGCATCTCTTCTCCCAAACCTATCAAAGAGTAACAGTTCCTCCTCAACATCCTCCCCCCAGCAGCCAGAACCACGGCAGGTTGCGGTGACAACGGGGCGCTCAGCTCATCAGTCCAAAAGGAGCAGGACAGAGCCGAGGCGGGCCAGGCTAAACGATGCTTCTCTCAGCTGGAGGCTGTGGCGATGGCCTTCTTCAGCTGCTGGCTGCGGATCTCCCGGGTGCGGCACACCAGGAGCAGGTCGTAGCAGATGTTGCACACCAACACCGGGTCATACAGCTGCTGGTCGGGGATGGGCAGCTTCAGGTGGCAGCAGTCTTTACAGAACACATTGCCGCAGTTCCTGAAGAGGGAGAGCACCCAGGAAGTTAGATCTGTGTTAGAGCTGTATTATAACCAGCAGCAAAAATGTAAGACTTTAGAAACAAGAATATAACTGTTTACTGTACAACTGTTTTACAACTGTACAGATACAAAAGAGATTAAAGCAGGTTTAATTATGTTAGAATGATCCATGCACTTTAACAACAAGGTACATATAGTGTGTTAGCACTTTAAGTAATAAAGAAAAAAAAACATGCTCTAATTCCAATTTAAAACATAGGTTTGTGGTACATCTCAGCCTCTTGTGGCCGAAATTAGTATTACAACTACTTTATTTCATAAACACAGGAGATTTTTTTTTTTAAATCATGCTACGAAAAGTCGCAGCAGATAATCAGTTAACTACATCTACTGTAGTATGCATTTTGTCCTTCCCCTGTATTTTCAGGGTATTTTTCAGTTTTTCAGCAGAGCAAATAAATAATAATCTTGCGTGTGTCTTGCTAGTTTGGCAGAATTGTGATGCAACAAAGGCTTACCAGGAGAGACGTGTGTCTAGTAAGCGCTCAAAGGCAAATGTTCATATGTGATGCTTTTAGTGAATACACTAATCAGGATGTATTAACTAGGAAAACACATTTGTTGAGTCAACAACAACAATGGCTAGAAGGAATGAGAAGGACTTACTAGTCAATACATATATTTACTTGTGTTGGTCCCAGATTCTTAAATGTTTCTTGATTATCTCTATTTTAAATCATTATTAAATAAAAAAGTTATTGACATTTTAGAAACTGGTTATCTCTAAAGACGTTATAGATATGATCTATTAACAGATTATTGTTAGAATATATTTTTAATCGATTCAGAGTGAAAACTATTGTGCAAATTGCATTATTATTTTTAGAAACAAGTTCAATATTTGTTCCTTTCTCTTCTACCTTTGATTTGTGACGACATGAGATATTTCAGGATTCTTTGTGTGTATTAATGTCAGAAAACCTCGGTGAAGCCCCACCTGCAGTGGTGACGTCTCTTGGCTATCCAAAACTCGCAGTCACAGTTGAAACAATGGGAGGCCATGTGGTCGGGCACCCACCTCGTGACCTACACACACATACAAACACACACAAAAACATTTATATCAGAACAGTGTGCAGTAATGGATAATGTGAGTGGTTAAACATTACTAATGGTGTTCCCCAAGGTTCTGTTTTAGGTCCACTATTATTCTCCATTTATATCAACAGTTTAGGTCAAAATGTGGATGGAGCAACTTTACATTTTTATGCGGACGATACCGTGATGTATTGTGCAGGTCCCTCCATTAAGGAGGCTGTTGTTAAATTACAGGCTGTTTTTAATATTGTTCAGACTCAGCTCGCTGAGCTTAAGCTTCTTTTAAATGTTGATGTTCTTTTAAACCAAGGTAATGCTATTTTCAAAAGCCAAAAAGACACCGGAGACCACTTTGGATATTGTTACTACGCAAGGAAAAGTACTTGAAGTGGTTGCCTGTTATAAATACCTTGGTATCTGGCTTCATGATTGTCTCTCTTTTAAACTTCAGGTCAATACTCTGCTTAGAAAGCTGAGGGTGAAGCTACGTTTCTTTTTCAGAAACAAGTCCTGTTTCTCACTTGAGGCCAGGAAAAGGCTCTGTGACCTTTTTACCTGTGCTACTTGCAACTCTCTGATCACACAGAGAGTTGCAAGTAGCTATTGCCTAAGATCTCATGATGTGGTTTTGTTAAATGTGCCAAGTGCTAGGACTGACGTAGGTACGAAAGCTTTTATGTGCGCAGCTCCTCTAACTTGGAACAGTCTGCAAAAAGAATGGAAACTGAGCAATTTGGTTCCACTAAATGTTTTTAAAGCTCAGATAGATGCTATGCAATCTGATACTGTTGGTACCTGTACATGTCGATAGGTTTGTAAATTGTAACCCTGTTATATCATATCATGTCCTTTTTGTTTTTCTGTTGTTTTTCTGTTTCATGTGGAACCTAATTGCTGCAGGTCTCCCTTGAAAAAGAGATCAATGATCTCAATGGGATTCACCTGCTTAAATAAAGGTTTGAAATGAAAAAAAGTAATAAGAGGTGGTCCTAGCCTTACAGGTGAGGGTAAGGAAGGAAGAAGAGAAAGTTATGTTAGACGATGAGGCACAAGAAGGATGCTGACCTCTGTGTCCTTGCTGTCCACTCGGTCCCAGCTGCCCTCAGACAGGCGGTCCTCGCTGTGTGTTGACAACGAGTCCTCCTCGTTGCTGTTGTCGGACTCCCGCAGACACGTCTGCAAACAGAGAGGGAATCAGAAAACAGACAGGAGTGAGAGAAGACACTTCCAGAGGATTATCAAAAGTAAACATTTACAAATGCTGCAGACAGAAGGCAGCTTATAGCACTGAGCTGTCGGGTGTTATCGCCAGCTTTGAAAACTCACAATGTCATCTTCGTAATCTACGTCTGGCTCCGAGGGGGGGGTGCTGTACTGTTTGCTCTCCAGCCTCATCTGCAGCTGCCTCACCTGCAGCCTCAGCACCTCCACCTCCTGCTTGTATCCCGCCTCTATCTGCCGCAGCCTCTGCTGCACGGCGTCCAGGGGTACCGGCAGCCCGTCGTCGTCCAGGTAGGCCGGCGCCTGGGGCAGGGGGGGGGAGCTGGAAGCAGAGGGCGAGGAGTACGCCACTGGCAGGAGCTGATGGCCTGCCAGGGAGTAGCTGTTGAGGGCGGCGGCAGCGGGGGCGTAGAGGCCGCTGTAGCCCGCACTCCTGGCAGCAGACAGCCACCCGGTTGGCAGGGGGGGGCTGGGGTGACACAGAGCCTCCCTGCGGCAGCACGGGGACCCGTTGGCCATGGCGAAGCCCTGGGAGCGCAGCAGCTTGCTGGCCAGCCGGCGGCTCTGGTAAGCGTTATGCTGCAGGGCCCGGCCCACCCCGGAGTGAGAGGCGCTGCTGCAGGCCGACTGCACCAGGCCCTGCACGCTCTCCCAGTGGGAGCCCAGCAGCGACAGGTCTGAGAGCTGGCTCTGGGAGATCAGGTGACGAGCGGCTGCCTGGGCGCAGTCCACAGGACTCACTGCAACGGTTAGCTCGCGCTCTGCTCCTCTAACCTCAACCATCCTCACTTCTTCTTGCTCCTTCTGGGGCTTCTCCTCATTCTGCACCTTGTGGTTAAAAGTATCCTGGGGGAGACCCTTGCTCTCCGCGGGGGGCAGGGTGGGGGGAAGCTCTCCCTCGTCTGTGAGAGTCTCTGTGGAGTCCTCCATGGGGAGTGATGCTAGCTGCTGTAGATGCAGCAGGTCTGCAGATTCTGAGAGGCCGTCTCCATGCCCCTTAGCGTGGTCGTCAGGCAGCGAGGAGGGTACGGCGGCGTGAGGCTCTGTGCCGTTGCAGGGGAGAGGTAAGCACGGTTTAGATTTATGAGAGGGTGAAGGGGGGCTCTCAACAGTCCTACAGGGGCTCTCGGGCTCCATCGGGGGAGGCGGGGGTAGCGGGTTAGTGATCTGAGGCAAAGCCTGTTGAAGGACAGGTGAGGGGAAGGGAGTGTCTGCGAGCACGACTTCTTTACTGATAGGGACCGGGGGGAGAGGCGGAGAGGGGAGGGGCTGCGTGGTGAGACATGGCTCCTCGGTAGCGCCCTCACAGCTTTCTGAAGCTGGGACCCCCTCTGAGGTCTTAGCATGACTCTGGAGTGGAGGTTGCCCCTCACTGCTGTCCAGTATAGTGTCAGCTGAGGCCTCGTCAGAGATCTCTGCAGTGGTTTCCTCTGAGGCCGGGGGGGGCTCGGGGGCAGAGCGACCCTCCTGGCAGTGCTTATTGAGATTTGGGTCGCTGGAAGTGCGAGTCAGGGGCACCCCGTTCTCAAAAGCTGAAAGCAAGTTGTCCATGGAGCGGGTCTTAGGAAGTCTGGAAATCAGAAATACACATAGGGTTTAGTTTTCCTCACAGGTGAAGAAATGGCAATGGTAAAATGATCTTTTTGAGACCCTAGAGGGCAGTGTGGCTCTCTGTAACACGAGGGAAATTAGAATTCATGAGAATCTCTGTGAGAACACTTAGTGCCGACAGCTCAGATATGCATCAAACAAACACACCTGTCCAGGGAGCGGGAGGTGAGTTCGTCTCCGGTGACACTCGGGGGGAGGTAGAGCTCCATGGAGTCGTCCACAGCGGTGCAGGGGGAGGAGGTGGGCAGGTAGACGGCGGTCCACAGCTGCAACGCTCGTGTGTGGCAGACTGGCTGCAGCACCTGCCAGACAAGGACATCGCAGAAGGCCACCGCAAAGTAATTATGAGTCTGTTACTCTGCCAGTGATGTCCTAAAACTGCTGTGAGTGATACATTATGAAAATGTCTAAACGATTCAAAGAGATCACTCAAACGGTATCAAGATGGAGTCATACTTTAAATACTTTTTGAAAAACAACATTTTAGGATCAAAGTAAACATTTATAGATACTATGCATTAGTCATTAATCACACACTACAGGTCCTGCACCGGGTTGGTACCTACAAAAAGGTTTGGCAACATGTAAAAAATATATTTTTCATCACGGTTAAGAAACGGTAGAAATAAACCGTATGTGGGTGGGGACCAGTTTCGAACAAAAATATGTTTTTTATGGAGAAACCAAAAATGATTTTGCAGTATTTTAACTTTTTAAATAAACTAATAGTATAAAGTCTGATTAGCCACCAAATGTTTTATTTGACTGTGAAAGCCTGTCACTGACAGCCAGTGATCGAGACATTTCCTCAGGTGGATTTGTGATTCAAGGATGAAGAACCCAGTTTAAACCAGAGAGAAACTAAAGCCCTCTAAAGTGAGTGGCGGCTTAGAAGCTAGTGTGTTTAATCCATGTCTTGTATTAAAAGGGGCAGGTCGCATTCAGATTTGACTGGGAATTTGTGGGAAACGGGTCGATTCTGCTGTTAGACTCATCTGGTGCAGGTTTGCAAAACTGGATAGAAAGTGGTAGGTACCATATCATGACTTGGGATGTAGAGGAAGTTCTGGAAGTTCTTGTTTCCATTGCGAAGCAGGGACCAGACGGAGCAGGTGCGTTTGTAGATATTCCTCGCCTCCCTCTCACGAGCGTTGTTGCACAGGAAGGTTCCGTACAGACACGAGTATGTATGCTGCACCAGCTTGACCTGAACACACGTGGAAGATAAGTCAGACCTTTAGCAGCAATTTACATTATTAGTGGTTGTTAGCAATCTGCCAACTAAATGTAACAATGTTTGGAGTGGAGAAAAGAATGCTGTAGGACCACCCACCAGGAAGGCCTCGTTGAACTCGAACAGGCAGGGGAACTGTTTGAGCAGCTGGTGGACAGAGTCCAGCCACTGCAGGAAGACGGGACACTGCTCGCTCACGTCATCTGCGTTCTCCTGGTGGCCGCAGCGGTCCCCGAACTTATGACCGTAGTCCAGCCACTCAGTCTCTACAAGCACCTGGAAACCCTGGGGACGACACGCCAGTCAGTAAAGTGAGATTACAGAGCAACACAAAACTATACTCCTCTGATATAGTATTGCTCTCCTTTACAACACTGTGACTCACAATGGACAGTAGAACAATGCAGCACAATCAGAGAAAAAATGAAAAATGCAGATCCCACAAAAATCAGCTTTACAATAAAACTACATTTCTAATACTAATATTTTAATTCCTACAATATACAACATTCTGTGGCCACACCCTGCAGACTCTCACCTCTATTGTCCTGTAGTAGGGGTCCAGAAGGATCTTGGAGAGGGCTACAATCTGGGGTGTGCGGTCCCACCCGTCCGAACAGTGCACCAGGACAGGACGTCCATCCCTCTCCACAGCCGAACACACCAGAGTGGCTGCCTTCAGCATGATGGACAGGTGTTGCAGCCAACGTGTGCTCTCAAGAGCCGAAAGCCAGCTAGAAACACAAAGAAGACTGATTAGATAAGAACCAATCTATTCCCTTTCACGGTGAAGTGATCTGGAGCAGAGATGCTGTATACGTAAATCAGTGTTGGTTAACCAGGGTCAAGTTAGACTGGGTTATTATGCTAATGAGAAAGGAGGCTTCTGACCTAAATCAATAGAAACACAATAATAATTAAACACAATAGTAAAACGCACACAGCGGAGAAAGACACACAGATGTAAAGCCAGGAACAAACAGAAACACACATATCCACTGTCAGTGTGTACAGACGGACAGCTGGCCGGCACAGCAGGAAGGGGACTGGACCATGGAAGCGTTGCCATCTCGGTGTTGTGTTACCTTACTGTGAGGTGAAGCCATTAAAAGTGAGGAGGGGGAGGGGGGGTGCTCAGAGAGAAGGTCAAACAGATCGACTCACTTTCCTGGATCAGGGATCTGACTGCAGACGGTCCTCAGAGCCTGGAAGCTGTTCCGGATGGCGTGGATGTTTGCCATTCCCATGAACATCACCTCACAGTTGGGGTAGTACTCTGATTACAAACAAACATAAACAACTCTGATGAAGGTCACAAGACGTAAACAACAATAGCATGGCGAGTTCAGATGATGGTTATCTTATCGTGTAGGTCAAATGAAACATTCATGGTGTTTATTTTTGGGTCAGTCACTGCTGGCAGAATATCCTGCCATCTATGGCTGTACACAATGTATTTGTTTTTACATTCAAAGTTTCATTGAGTTAATTAGTTTATGTTGTTATATAGATAGTATTGGGGAAATGTTTTCCAAGGCCCATACTGACCTCACTGAGCACAGGCACCTGTATCCTTGGCTGCCGTGCTCTCAGTGTTTTGTCTCCCTGTTCCTGCCTGTTGGTGTCAGCTGATAGAGGTGTGATGATTCTATCTTGTTATGCTCAATGTTGATTATTCTCTCTGAACTAGCTAAATACACGGGTCTGGGGTAGAGTTCTTCAGAATACACGTGGCAACTCTCCCGTGAAGTCAGAACCTCTGACTCTTTGACTTGTTTTGTGAATTCTCCGGCCGAAGCTCCAAATAAACCCATCAGTGTTTGCCATCAAAGCTCCAGCTCTCCCTGTGTCTCCTTTGAGTCGGTGACTCCTCCTGCATTGCTACACAGACGTTTCCCCCACAGATAGTATTTATCGTGCTATTAGATCGCTGCTAGACTGCACCATTAATACAGGCTTCCCTCTGTGAACAAATTGTTCTTTCACAGCAGTGAACATTTTGTTTTTGAAAAGCTCAATTACTGGTATAACATTAATATAAGAAAACTGTGCATCATTTCAGTGTTGATTTAAAATTCAAATGTCAAGGTTACTGTATGAATACAACCTTTGTAGCTTGTACTGTTTGGTAAAGCCCTATGAATGTCATATTCTAAATTCTCACACACACACACACACACACACACACACACACACACACACACACACACACACACACACACACACACACACCACACACACACACACACACACACACACACACACACACACACACACACACACACACACACACACACACACACACACACAACTCTGATCTCATACCTTAAAAACTGTAACATTCATTAAATAGTGTCAGACTTTTCAAATGTTTGGTTGCACCAACCTTCACACTCACAGCCTCCGCCCTTGGCTCTGTTGGCCACTGCGGCGGTGTATGAGCGAGCGTCCAGAATCAGCAGCTTCTGTGGCACAGTGTTGTCACTGCAGCCAGAGCCGCCCGTCAGAGAGGAGTCTGGAGGACAGAGAGGATTTGAATGTTAGGAGTGGACGGCGTGATGCGAATCAAACTGCCGGGGGGATGACGAGGGATAGAAAGCGTGAAGTGCCAGGGACATGATTAACAGAAACTGAATCCATAGCTCCTCCTGCTGACACAACCGCAGTGTTGCTATAGGTAACGATCACAAATCAGGAGACCTGCTTTTAAAAGCTACCAGGGAGAAAGAAGAGTAATTACTCTGAGGCTGCAACTACACTACTCTGCACTCAGTTAGCGTGGCGCTACCACTCCCTTTCCAGCCTGTCATCGTGCCCAGAGTGAGGCAGTTAAACATCCACGTCACTCTCTGCGTTTACACAAAAACATAAAAAAACAGAGTATAAACAAGATGCAAATTGTTGTTTTTCTGTATATGTTGCGGTGACAACTGTCCCACTTTGTATCCTACTAACATTTCTGTAGCCAAGGCTGATTATAATAAGATAACATTAATGATATGCACTTTCATTTAAAATGGGAGCTTGTCAGGAAAAACAGCATGACAACATATTTTATTGCTACTTAATTTAATATAAATAGTTTTCTCTGTCAGAAAGCCTATATCATGTGTTCAGTTATGTGTATATCTGTGTGTGTCCGCAGTTACTTTGGCCTACTACTGGACCAATCAGCTTAATGTTTATCATGTTCATTTATGACTGAATGCTAGTATATCTAGTGATTGCATTGATTCACAATGTTTGAAAAACCCATTTTATTCAATGTTTTATAAACGCCATTTTCAGCCAATGACAATATATTATTTTACAAACTGTGGTAGTAGTAGTCCACTTTAAATTGAGGAAAATGAATGAGACATCGAAATAATGGAATTCATTTTCTTCCTTCCAAGTCATATGGACATGTTCACATAATCAGCCAGCGTAATATTGCATTCTTGAAAGCTACAGTGCGCTAAGAGTGAATCTGAACATATAAATCAAACCACTGCTTTACCAAAATCACTATCGGAGGAGTCTGGAGCGTCCCCGCGATGTCTGCAGGCCTTTGCTCCAGTGTCCAAATGACACGCCTTGGCGATGGATGTCACCAGGTACTCATCATCCGTGTTCCTCCAGCCCCACCAGCTGATCTCAGGCTGGCTGCAACGGGAGATCACCGCCCCGTTTTTCTGGTGCCTGCAATTCAAGGTAATACTCACTAAATTGCAGACTGAAGAAGCAAAACGGGACAATGCTGTTAAAGATATTGGTGAAATTGTTTGATTTGTGGCTTTGTGTCAGTAACCCCACCTGTAGACCACCACAGGGATTCTCTTCCAGGATCTGAAGGAGCCCACACTCTCCAGCTCCTTGTCTGTGATCCATATTGGAACCAGAAGCTTCTGTGGGTAGCTGGAGCACATCCTGTGGACAGGAAGGACACTTTGTTTTCATAGAGGAAGGTTAAATGCTGTTTGTAATGCTGCAAATATTTGACCACAAGTCTTACTTATCAACACTGACAGTATCTCAGTAAAAAAAAAAAAAACTTCTTTGACATTCTGTTTTTCAGGGTCAATATGATCCTTTCCTTAATGTCTATTCACCTGCTGACTGTCTGAAGAATGAAGCAGAGACAGTGTGTGTGTGTGTGTGTGTGTGTGTGTGTGTGTGTGTGTGTGTGTGTGTGTGTGTGTGTGTGTGTGTGAAACTGTGCTGAGTCATGGGCCTCAGCAGGCTGCTGCTTGTTTAATTAGCCAGTTGTCCTGTGTGTGTCTCTCTCCCAGCAGGATGTGCTCTGTTGGGTACTACGAGCAGACTGACCTTTTTTTGTAGCGTGTATTTGCCCAGACAGCAAAGGAGAAGGGAGAGTCTCATACATAGATGGGTTTGTGTTTGTATGTTGAAGAATTTAATGGTCAGGGTCAGTTGAGAGGTCAGAAAAGACAAAGCCAACAAGTATACAATCTAAATCCCTATTAAGCATTACGACATTTAGTTAGCTATGTCGTTGGCAAACAACAGTAGATGTTAGCTTAAAATGTTGCGAGTGTGTTGCCAACGGTAACGCTACATCTTTCTAGTGTGTTGCTGAGTCAAAGACAGGTCTATGAAAAAGTTATTTTATTTGTGATTTGACAATTTAAGTGCAGGAAGAAGATATGTAGCTTTTGAAATTGGGTCCAATATTTATGGGGCAAGTGATTTATCTGTGAGCACGTCTCCCTTAGGAGTTAAAATACTTGACCTGCTGCCGGTATGGGAAATGGACTGTCATTTATCAGGCAGTGTTTTTTAACAGGTTAAAATATCTTTTTTTTTCTTTTTCTTAATGGGTTTATGAACATCTATTTTGCAAAGGACATCTCAGACAATGTTGACCGTAGGAAATGTGAGTCACACCGAATGTAACGTTGACCTGATGACAGATGACTGTGTGTATATTGTCTATGTGCTCATTCAACTCTAATTTATATCCAACCTGACTACAATCCTCCCAAAAGTAACTGTAATCCAAGATGAATTTAAAACCCACATTCCTGACTGAGTTCTGTCTCAAAGCTGGAAGATGTGCCGACACACAGGCTGTCCGTCACACAATCTGTTCAGTTTGCCGACATAGTGAGTACAGCATCTCTGTCACAGCTCTACGAAAGCTCTTTAAAACGTTGTCAGTCACCATTCACTCTCTAAACATCCATCAGGATATGTTACAGTTACAACTGTTGCAGCGGGGGGGGGGGGGGTATTTCCGTACAGTATCTGTGACATACTTGAAGTTGCAGTTTATGTCTGACACTCTCCAGACGTTCTGCGTGTCGAAGCCCATCCTCTTGACCTCCATTTCCATTCTGTGACGCACGTTATCCCCTGAGCACAGAGACAGCATGGGAGGAGATCATTTTAGGAAAGTCAACATTTTAACACATATAACATATCCAAGAGGCATGATTGTTCTTCACCTTTTTGTTAAGAGCTTTTTTTATTTCAAACTGAACACAGTTTTTTTATCTAAATGTGGCCAAAATCTTTGAAACTGGTTTAGTATTGAGTGAGAGCGCTGCAGCCGGCAGACGTTTAACAGGGTGCAATGTAATACTTATGTACGATTCCACAAGGTCATTGTACATCCATTAAAAAAGCTTATTTGGCCGCTGACAGGTTCAGATTGATATCATAAGTGTCTGAAAAAATGAAGGATAGAACCCTACAGAGGAAAATTATTCTATTTACATTTCATTTGATCAAGTCTGTTTGTTTTTGTTTCTTACTAAGGCTCATTTAAGGCAAGGTCTTCTTCTAAAATCTTGTGAGAGTTGACTCATTGCCAGAAGAAAGCGATGGAAACACAAGTGAGAGTAAAGAGAGTGTCAGTGTTGTTAGAATTAGTTGTGTAGGAGTACATAAATCCTAGCTTCAAGTCATTTTCTAAGTTTTTCACTGTCATGACTGAATATCAAGCAGATTTCAATAGAATGGATGCAGTTCTATATTTTAGAACAAGACTCCTCCAGATCAAGCAAAATGTACATTTAATTTCAACAACAAGCACTTTCATGTTGTAGATGAATGTTATGGAATTCCCTGAAAGTATTACATTGCAGGTAAATTCTCGTCTCATACACTTGCCAAATACTTGACCAATTTCAAAAGCTGTTGTTCCTGTTACATGTGGAAACAGTGTCCAGCTTGGTTACACTGAAGTTCCTTTAGTTCAGTCTCGAATGTTGTGTGTGTGTGTGTGTGTGTGTGTGTGTGTGTGTGTGTGTGTGTGTGTGTGTGTGTGTGTGTGTGTGTGTGTGTGTGTGTGTGTGTGTGTGTGTGTGTGTGTGTGTGTGTGTGTGTGTGTGTGTGTGTGTGTGTGTGTGTGTGTGTGTGTGTGTGTGTGTGTGTGCTGACCTGGGCGACAGAGATGGACGTGCTGGTCTTCATCATCAGAGTTGCCTCCCAGACACCAGGCGTGATAGGCGAGGGCGAACAGATCCTCCAGGCGGGCGGGGTGAGCTATGGCCCGGTTCAGACGCTTCACCCACTCCTGGCACAGCTTGAATGTTGCAAAGTGGCATCTGTGGAGTGAATATAAGAACGGTGGGTGAGATTCAACAATTAACACTTCGTTAAAACTTCATGCATTTGGGATTGTGTGAAACATTTGGTAATTTCCTCATATGCTCAGAGGCTTTTCAAGCGTGAAACTAGGAGTAATGATAATGCTGCTTAATGATGACGAACCAAGACGTCAATGGCACAGCTGCTGCTGAGAATCTGAAGCATCCACTGGTTTTGAACTTTACAGATGTCAATCACAAGAGAATTTCAGTCTGCTGTGAAATAAAAACAGGCTAGTTCTGTTTGACTCGAAACTCCTTTTAAAGCAATCTGTGAGCATGATTAGAGCTGATTATACACTTGCCATCTGTTCTTGGTTAATACCACGGTGACTGTCATTAATAAGACGGCTTTATATGCTACACAGCATACTCTCATCCCTTAAAAGCAGCACAAACAACAATAAATATGATGTCCATCTGCATGAAACAAATAAACAATGGTTTGATTTTGATGGTATACTTAAAAGCAACATAATTAATACTTTACTTCAACCAATGTCTCTGTAATATATTGACATCCTAAAAACACATTTTGCATTCATTAGTATTTCACTACTTTCTTTTACAACTACATTGCTCCGTCAAAACGTTTTTACTGATATGAGTATTATTTTAGTCTGATGAAAAGAACATAGAAAAATGCTGATAACTTCGCAGGGCACAAAGTTAATTGACTATTTCAAACTGGCATGTGTCTGATAACCAAATATTGAAAGAAATAATACAAATGAAGGGAGGCTTAACATTTGAGTAGCCGTGTGATGATTAATTCTTATTATTTAACAATCAATTCCAAAAATTGCTTTTGATTACATTCCTGCTGAAAGATTAATTAGCTTAACTTATTGTTTCAGATAATTGCGCATAAAATATACTGGAAGCAGACAGGCTGGACTTTAACTCTGTTATCATGCTAACACAAATGTGAACCAAAATAAGTCATAACCTCAAAGTATGAAAAAACATGCATCATAAACTATTGAATGCTTGAATTAGTTTTTTCCCATACTCTAAACCATTTGTATTGACAACTCTGTTATTCTGGTTCCACCTAAGCATCAGAAGATGTTCTTTTTCACTCTGTTACTTAAATCTACCCAGGCAGGAATTCTTTCTTACTGTGAGGTCACAATACATGATCTCTATAATCACTAATGTCACTAAGTAATACAGTAGGCAAGACGCTATATTAACAGAGGCTTTATAAACATCACTTTATTATAACTGTTCACATCTATTTTTACACCAGGGACTGGATTATTGATTGGCTGGTAAGCGCAGTAGTGTACTGTATAGAGGTTATACATTCTCTCCACACTGTCACAGAGAAATGAACTATCGTATTATTCATTTATATGAGTGTCGGACCACCGTACTGAATTCTTGGTAAACCCAAAGCAGTTTCAGGGCTTTTTCCCTCTCCTGCTGCAACTCACTGTGGCCTTGTTTTCACTGCAATGTGTAAGCCCTGCAACCCTATGGAAACAGCACAATCTGTTTTACAGTATTTAGTTCATTCAGTTGTATGACCATTAATACCATATTGGATTAAATACATACACAAGTGTTTCTAATATCATATAAACATAAGCTATACACATTGTACTATTTAAGATTTGCACAACCTGTAATTACAACCACTCTCTTCCTCTCTGCTTTGTGTAAACAGTCTGCCAGTCAGTCTTCCCTGAATTTTTGTTGTGCATCTTTTGGTCTCGGTCGAATCATTTATAGCTTAAATTTAGCTTTGAAGAATGCAGAATGTTATGTTTTTGACAGGATCTAATTAGTGCAGACGGATGATTTCTGACTAACATTTCAAATGGCGCATGTAGAATGACTAGTTTACGCTAGGATTTGGTTTCTTTTCCTCACAAATAAATCATTGAATGATCTTTCATTTTAAAATCCAATGATCATTTCTGTTTTATAAACTCTGGGTATACGTTTTTTAAACGGTTTAGGGTTCAGGGGATTGATAAAAGCATCAATATGCTTTCAGGGTTAATATAATGTATTTAGTGTGTGAGTGAGCAGTTTTTTCCTCACCTTACAACTTTGGAGTCTTTGCAGATGATGTGCAGCTGGAACATATCTCTGCTCTCCACGTTCTCTATCAGCCTGAGAGGTACCTGCAGGGGGAGACAGAGTGCACGTGTCATCGTCCTGATGGCCCACTGTCACAGCGACACACTTCTGCAAAGAGGTCACCACTCTCTGGTCTAGTACAGACTGAACTTAGATACAAATAGTACAGCGTAAGGCTTCCTCTAAGCAGGCCTCTGCATTGTTTTTATCTTTGTCTCAAGACTTATTTTAAGATACCAAACAACAACTATAAAACGTGTTGTCTGCAGGACTGTCGACCCTGCTTTCTAAGCTTTCCCTGTCGATTGAAATTGTTACAGATTTACAAAATCACCCACGCAACTTCAAATTTGATCAAACATTTATGCAACGGCACTTTCTGCACTGTGCATGAATGAATAAATACTATTTCATGCCTTTTTAGCAAACAGCAAGTTCCTTCTTTTTCATGAAGTCTCAAGGTCAGCAAACACGCTGCACCACAAATATTTGTTGTCCTTTGAACGTAAATCACAATTTGTCCCCGGCGCACTATAATTGTTTAAAACCAAGAGGGTGACTTAAGCTGTCTAGACAGTGGCAGAGGGTGGTGTTTTATCATTTTGTACTCACAGATATCTCATTGTCCACACCTGGGAAGGTCTAAAACACAGTGTGACACACACACACACACACACACACACACACACACACACACACACACACACACACACACACACACACACACACACACACACACACACACACACACACACACACCACACACACACACACACACACACACACACACACACACACACACACACACACACACACACACACACACACACACACACACACACACACACACACACACACCACACACACACACACACACACACAGAGAGAGAGAGGGAGAGGGAGCGAGAGGGGGGAGGGAGGGAGAGGGAGGGAGAGAAAGACACAAGACAGGAGGAAATGGAAAAACTATTAAACCAAAAACATCCAGGAGAAAAAAAGGAAATGAAGAGTTAAAAGGAAAAAGAACATCAAAGAGGTTGAAAGATAAGTGAGTGTGCTACTTGCAGCACGTGACCAAGCTAAATGGAAATCGTGGAGAGAAAGACAAACATGGACAGGAGCAAAGGGCAAGAAAACAGCTTAAAGGTAGGGAGGTGGGTTGTGAGGGGGGGGGGGGTGGAGAGAGAGACTGTGTGGTGTGTTGGCATTCATACAGAGTTCATCTGTGCTGCTGGGGTCAAGGCAGGACAGAATCTGACTCTCCATTTAAGTAAGTCAAGGTGAAGCGGCAGTCTGGACGTCATGGTGATCCACCCCCAGCTCTTCCTCCTTTTTCTCTAATCCCTGCCACCCTTTTCATAAACTGAATCCTTCTGGTAAAGATGACTTGGTAATATGAAGGAAGAGGAATTTCATTGCCAGTAAATGCAAACAATTGGCCCGTTTGTATTTGACCAAGGTCTGACGTCAAGCCAGAGTGGGCCAATGGGCCTCAGTGCCAGTGGGGGCCAGGCCCTTGGAGCCTCGATGTCATATTAAACCTATCCTGGCTGTGGATTGGTGGGGCCAGCCACTCCTGTGGTACTAACAACTTAATGCCAAATGCACTGGGGTATGACTAAAACCGATTTACGGGCAACCAATGGAAAATACTTGTAGCTTTATTTGCCTGGTTAGCACAATGATGTGTTTATAACATACATATGGGGGAAGGGGTAGAGCTATGTGCACACACCCCGCACATTATAATCTTTTCTCTACGTCTATTGGCTTCCATAGATATAGACACTGGTGCAGTTTGGACAGAAGTGAAACTGTTGTGGCACTTCTGTATGTTTATAAGTCTGTTGATTTGCACTTACGTTGATAACAGAGTCCTTGAACTTGATGTGGAGTCTGTAGTTAGAAATGGCGATGATGGCTTCGTCTGCACAGCCAAGATATTCCACCCCTTCCCCCTGAAGAACTGCGAATGGCACCTGTAGAAACACAGAACAAACCAGATTGCTGAGGGTTTTGAGAGGCAAAAACATAACACCACCACCACCTGTTTTTGTTTCGTCTACCGGGAGTATAATCTTAACATTCACGTTTCTATTTTTAAAGCTGTACTCTCAAGTTGAGGAGTTTACAGCCATGCTTGCTGCTTTGAGAGGCTGAACTAAGGCAGAGTGGTGCTTTGAGCTAAATGCTTGGATGTTGATCTTTAGCAGGTTTAATGTTGAACATGTACACAATCTTAGCTAAGCATGTAAGCATGCTAACATTCACTAATTAGCATTAACCCAAAGTTCAGGCACAACCAAAGTTAGTATTTAATTTGCTAATTTAATTCTTAAAGTGGGTGTCATGTCGTTACTCTAAAAGCCCCACGCACATAAATAAACAAGCGCATTCTCCTTATGCGACCAAAATACATTTTTAACCAGCACTTTAAAAAAACTTAATTTTTTTCTTTCTGGTAGCATCATGGTGGACTCTGTTGAGGATGACCGCTTCCTATGTAGTAATGAAAGGGTGATCTTAGCTATTGATTACACACCAAGAAACCTTAGCTAAGAATTGTATTTTCTGATCCTGCTAATGAATCCTATATCCAACACGCAGGTTATTTAAAACTGATGAATTTGAACGTTTTTTTATTTATTGTTTAACCTGTTAAGCCCTGAGCCTGTTTTTCAGGCCTCAGGCTCGAAAATGACATTCCCAGAACAAATTACCATAACTTCACTTCTAAAAAGGGTAAATTAATAATCTTTTTTCTCAAAGCAATTATAAACCTGTGAGTTGGCTGTAGAAAAGTCAGAATCAATATAGAATTGTTTTTTATTTTAAAGTAAATTCAGATTGAACATAGTAAATAAAATAAAATTATAGTGTCCGTCCAAAAAAACAAACATTATAGTGAAAACCACCCTTGAATGATGGGATAGTAGACTAAAAGCTTTAGGAATCCAAACTAGAACATATAATAAGTACCCTGTATCAAGATTGATGCAAAACAAGTGAAATTTGACCTTTTTAGAGAGGTTTAGCAACAAAAAAACCCACCTTTGGGGTCATTTGAGTGTATTTGCCGTTTCTCTGGAACCCATTGGTCGATTTTGGTCACACACACACACACACACACACACACACACACACACACACACACACACACACACACACACACACACACACACACACACACACACACACACACACACACACACACACACACACACACACACACACACACACACACACACACACACACACACACACACAGAGGAGTGAGAGTGACCCGCACACAGTCGAAAGCTATGTTACGCTCTGAAATCTGAAACCTAGGCTCAAACTAGTAAATATGAATATGATTATCAGTAATCATTTCAAAGTGACACAGACACATTGGATTAACCTTCAGCAGCGTTGTTATTGTTTTAATGCCATTGAACACAACTTTTGATCAGAACAACAGCAAAGGTTAGACTATTCTCGTTTTTGCTCCGTAAAGCTACGTCGTGTGATGTCTGGGTTTGCTTCCCATGCCGTGAGTTCTGGTCGCTCAGTGGTGATACTTATATTTCTGGAATCTGTGGAATCTCAGCTTGCTAGCTGATGTCTTGTTTGTGCAGATACGATAAGTGGTGGAGTGTTTCTACCGTGAGTTCTGTGCTAAGTGCGATAGCATTTTTTCGCTCAGGGCTAATTCAGAGGCTCGCCGTTAGACTTGTGTTTCGTTTGGCTAAAAATGGTTCATATTGTCAGTTAGCTGAGTTTCCCCGTTAAGTGGATATGACACATTCATAGTTTGTTAAATGTTAAGAAGCCCTCAGACGCTGTTTCTTGCAAGATGTTGCGTTTGGCCCGCTGCGGGGGCATGGGGATTGACAGGTAAAGAAAAATCGACTTTGTAGAAAACAAGTGTCAAATTTATGATTCTGGATATCCCAACTGTAACTCAAGAACCACATTGGCCCAATAGATTTTTTTTAAACATGACTCAGCACTTTACACAACCAACAGGCAAGGTTAGTGCTTGCAACATCCTGCCCACTAGAAGCTGAACTCGTAATGATTGTGGACATTTCAGATACGACAAAAAGGGGGGCATGGAGGAAACACTGCATGTATAGCTGTCCAATTAGCACATAGTAGTTTTACAGAAGGACCTTTGTAAGCGCAGAGGGCTTGTTGGTGAGCCGGCAGACAAGAGGCAGGGCTGTGAGGAGTGTCTGCTTTAGTACTGACGGTACAGTGAGGGATCCCAAACTGTCCATTAACATTCTTCCGTGTGCCCGTTTTATTACAGCCCAGCCAAGTCCAGGTTTTGGCTGCAATGAGACCCAAATATTAACATAATTGGTTCCCAACGAAATGTAATTAGAAAACATTCCTAATTTCACTCTGAGGCAGCAGGGCATTAGCTTTGATAGGCAACCGTGTTGAAGCAAACACAGCCACAGGCGCCAACTTGTAATCACCATTCATACTATAAAGATGGAAGTGTACAACTACTTTCACATTTATCTATTTTACACTGACCACTAAACGTACTGATCTGTTATTGGACCTGCTTTACCAACGTACTTAAAAACGTTTTTTTTAGCGAACTATAATGGTGCTTCACAAGAAATACAACGCAAATTGTTATCATTATCATACTGTGTACACTGTCAAAGCAAAGACACACATGGACAGGAACGGGCCAAAATTCATAGCAGGATATGCGAATGAGCTAGAAATGTGCGGGCACTGTGTTGTGAACGCTCATCAGGGTTCAGATTCTTCCGACAAGACTGAAGTCCTGACGTTGTCAAAACAGAAATGGACAAAACCTTTTTTGTAGCTTTCTGTAGACATCCGTCATAAACAATAAACATCTTAAACGCAGGTGAGTTTATGTCATTTTTTAAAAAGGTATACAGTATGTAGCTATGTATAAAGAATAACATTATTCCTGCATCCTTTTGATCTGTATATTGCAATTAAATCGAAGGAAATAACTGTTAATTTTCAGTTCATACTGCTCTGGTTATAGGTAAATAGATGAATTGTTGAAGTAATGTGAATAGATACTATTATTCCTTTGGTCAAACTTGGCTAAGCAACCCAATGCAAAAGGTCGTTTCACTTAGCTTAGTTTGGTGTGATTGGATGTTTTATGAGTGCTGTTGATCAAGAGGTTTTAGGATATGTACAGAGTATAACTTTCCATTACATCGCATAAAACACTCTTCTGGCTGATGTGAAATAGTAAATTGTGTGGGAAGATATATTACTGATCATTACTGATTCTTAAGTCATCACTTCTGTGTGTTGATCACCATGCATGCACTGATGGCTGCTTTAGTGTAATCATAGTCAATGGGGACCACCAATTGTTACCCTGGTCGCGTTGTTTAGTTGCTGGTAGTGAGGACAACAGTGTTGCTTAGAAACAAAATTACCTCATCCTGCATTAGCATGCAATGCTGAGTCACAAAGAGGAGGGCCCACTGCTGCATGTTAAAAGAGGACATGCAGTATGGCAGCTGGGGATCTACGGCAAGATGTTAGAAAATCAGGCTTACATGAAATAACATTACACGGAGCACACCGGCTGGACGTGACGAACAGACTCAGAAACACTAGTCAACATCTACTAGTCATCTTATGTTTTACAACTGATGCCAAGCCCATAGATCCAGTGTAAAGTAAAACTGTTCTTGTCTCTTTAATGTGAAATATATAGTCCATTGGCAAGGGATCAAAAAGCTGTTGATGACTGCTGATTCAAACTCCTGACATTTATCATGGCACCTGCTGTTGTTCATCTCTAACTCAAAATGTGTGAGTGAGCCCGGACAGGAAGCATGATGAGGCAAAGAAGACAGCTTAACCTGGGAAATGGAGCACGTAGTACTCTGCTCTCAGACACCAACAGAGCCAAATATAGGCAGCAAGCCCCCTGGCACTCTGCACTGGGACTTCAAAAAAGTGAAATGTTACAAATATCTAGCTCAACTAACTGACAGTGGCACACAAATACAGCTGGCACCCAAACAAAGCTGAATACGCTTCAGTTGACAGAAAAAAAAGCTGTAGATACAATTTTACTAAATTAAAAAAGGAGACAAAATTGTTCTTCCTGAGTCAGAGGACGTGGCCAATTTGCATGAAATATAATCACAGCAGCAGGGACGGGTCTGCGTGTTGCTCTGCTGTGGAAGAGACCCAACAAGCCCAGCTGAGAGGGCCATAGTTAACATGCTGTACAGACCGCAAGCTGCATTGAACACGCTGTGCTCCAAAAGTAGGCTCATGAGTCACCAGCAGCTAGCAAGTGCAGCAGAAGATCCTGTGTCACGTTTTCCTCTATGAAGCCTTCAGCAGCAGAAATATTAGAGAGGAAGCCGGGGAGAGAATAACACTCTCTTACTTGTGAGTCGTGACTTCCGGTTTAAGCAGCCTGCCTGTGAGGACATGCACGTGTGCACACGCACACAAATGCATGCATATCGGCTTGCACGCATACAGGGGAAATGCAGCAGGGTAATAAATATGTTGCGGAAGGGAATGCCTTTAATCTGCTTGCTCAGCTGTCAGGGAAACTATCATGGGATGCCCTCAAACACAGAGAATAAAACAAAAGCAGAGACAGAATGAGGTTAGAAACTTTGTTTAAGTGTCCTCACATTGCTGAGCAGGAAATGAAGAACCACTAGGAACACACTGTCAACACACTGTCAACTGTCGCGCATCCCTTTTATTATAGAGCTGCAACAATTATTCAAGTAATGGATTTGTTGATAAACAAATAAATAATCACTAAATATTTTGATAATCGATGAACAGTTTACTGATTAACTGATAACTGTTTCTTGCTAAATTGGCAGAAAATGCTCTTTTCAGTCCCTCAAATGTCCTGCTTTTTAATGGTTTGTTATAATGAGAAACTGTACATCCTTGGTTTTTTGACTGACAGAACCAGACTTTAAACTCACTTTGAGAAACT